AACAACCTGGAAAAAGATTTAAGAAAAGGACACAGTTTTGAGGCCGTATCTTTTTAACCGACATAGATTTGCGAATGACGTCACGATTGAAGACAAATTTGAAAAAAGGACACAGATTTGAGGCCGTATCTTTTTTTAACGGACATAGATTAACGATTGACGTCACGATGGGTCACAGATTTGAGAAACGGACACAGATTTGAGGCCGTACACAGATATGAGGTTTACATATATATATGTACATTAAACATTTATTATTTTACACAAGAGATACAAATCAAAAGGGTAAGTACTTGATTACTATTGTCAAATTCATTAAATATTTATGCGATACATGAGGGGTAATAATTTTTCAAATGTAAAAATGAAAATCATCGTTAAAATGTTTAAGTAAGTTGGACAAAAATGCTAATTTGTTTCTTCTATTTACATTGTGTCTTCATACTGATCATTGATTTTGTTAAGCATATATGCATGCATAATATATCTTACTGTATGTCTGTTTACCTCAAGATGCTATTTTCCTATCTATTCGTTGAATTCTTGTCTCATTGACGCATACCAAAATCCATTTATTTTTTTTTTATTTAATTGAAGCTACATTTCATGAAAGTAAGCAGTTGCAATTTGAATTTCCGCAAGCAAATCGATTTAAATATATCACAAACGGAGTGCGAAATGTTGAAATTAACAGAATGGTTGAAGAGTATTATTTAAATTGATTTGATTTTAATTTGATTTTTGTTGTTTTAACGCCACTTTTAAGCACTGCTTTTGGGCTATTTCATGGCGGTCAGTTTTTATTGGTGGAGGAAGCCGGAGTGCCCGGAGAAAACCACCGACCTTCGATAGGAAAACTGACAATCCTAGTCAATTAAGATTGGAGTCGAGTGCACCAGCACGAGCGGGGTTCGAACTCACAACCTCAGTGTTGACTGGCTAGTGATTACATTAGTAACTACTTAGACCACTCGGCCACCGAGGCCCCTTATTTAAATTGAACTTACATATCTAAATTAAAATAAACAAATATACTGATGCTGTGCAACTAAGTTTTGTTTACAATCGTTCTTTTCTATGATGGTGAAGTCTTTTGTTGATAAATTGCAACTTTGTAATCTATTTAGAATATTAATGATAAAACAGTGCAAACTGTAAAACAATATGTCTAATCTTCTAAGTAATAAAACATACAAGAAAAGGGAGACAGATTTTTGTTTTCCTTTTTTAGGAATAAAACATATTAAATAAAGTACAAAACTACAAAGAAATGATAGTATTGTGATCAGAATTGTTAATTTCCTTATCTTCAATAGGAACATACAAGAAATATGAAAGTGTAAACCACCATCAATTAATAAAGCAGATAACTTTTTAATATAAATTTTGCATAGAAAATTTGGAACATGTTTCAACGAAATAATGCTTTTGTTACAACAATAACTTTACGGTCGGGTAACACTAAAGTCTGAAATTGCCCATATCTGTACTCGACTGTACTGAATTTTACATGACCAGTCTGAATTGGTCTGAATTTTACTTGATATTACTCGACCCCAATCTTAACCATACTCGACTGTACTGATTTGCACTAGGACCTTATCTTTGCCATTGAAAAAAGTCTGAACTATTACTCGACCAGTCTGGAACAGTCTTAACTCATTCGCGACCTGAACTCGACCAGTTCTCGACCTAATTTTCAGTCTATTCCATACTCGATCAAATATCTGAACCATACTTGACCAAATAACCTCTACTTTGTTTTAATTTTTGACTGTTTATATAACTATCTTTTTAACTGAAATGACAGCCACAATAGAGTAAAGATATATTTACAGATTTTTACATCCTTACATAATCATCACATTTAACAAATTGAAATAGTCTTGTTTGCCATGTGTATTTTTTAACAAAAATAAATCATTGTTTTTTCACATAAATTCTTAAACAACAAATACATTAGGTTTCATGTTTACATACAATAGATATATAACTGGTAAGCCCTCAAACACATCACACGAATGGATAACAACTGTCATATTCCTGACTTGGTAAAGGCATTTTCTGATGGAAATTGTTTTAAGCCTAAATAAAGGAAGATTTATCAAATTTTAATAAGGGTATATTTCTTGGTACCATGAAACCATTTAAATACTAAGCCAATTTGACAAATTGTTTTCTTAACAATTATTGGATGAGTATTCATTTTTTTAGAATAAATTTTGTTAACAAAGTTGCTTTATATATATGAGATCAAGGAAAATACAAAAATGTTTTTGAAAATGAGAGTTTTCTTAATTCAATGAAAAATAATCTCAAAACTGAATTGTGACTTTTTGTCCTGGACTTTTTGTCCTGGACTTTTTGTCCGTGAATTTTTGTCTGTGACTTTTTTTCCTGTGACTTTTTGTCCTTCATTCATATAACTTTCTTTTTTAACTTACCTAACAACAGCCAACACAATCACTGAAATTGTTCAATTTTATATCAGAAATATATCAATTCTAATTATAATTTGGCATATATATATATATTTATATATCTAAAAGGGATAAACTATTTAAGAAATGATTAAAATTGTTCTTTTGATCAGGGGTTTACTATAAAGTAATACCGCCTGCTTGGGGCACACTCATTAAAAAGAGCACACCTGGTCAGAGAGTAATAAAATTTAAACAACATCCTGTAAACTTTAATGTATGTCTTTAATTTTGACAAAACTTAATTAATCAACCTAAATTTTTACCGAAGCTTTGGAACACAATTTCTTTTTTAAAAGGTTTTCAAGGATTTCTATGGAAGTTCTATAATATTAAATTATTGGTATTACAAAACAAGGGTGTCATTTTTAAAATTTATCAAGTTGCTTTATATACAAAAACAAATGTTAACTGCTTTATAAACTAAACTTGACTGACACCATAAATTTAGAATGTAGGACAGTAAGTCACAGGAAGAAAGTCAAGACAAAAAGTCACGGACAAAAAGTCATCGGATAAAAGGTTACATTTCCGTTCGAGATAATTTTTCTTTAAATAAGAAAACGCTTATTTTTAAAAACACACATTTTTGTATTTTTCTTGAACTAGAATATTTAAAACAAAAATATGTTCTAGAAAAATCAATAATGATCAAATAACTGTTAAGAAAACAATTTGTCAAAATTGCTTGGTAATTAAATGGCTTCATCGTGACTAGAAATATATTATCCTTACCACGATTTAAATTTGATAAGTCTTCATTTATCAACACTTATGAACAATTTCCTTAACAGTAACACAAATAAATGTAATAAAAAGTGATTATTTCAAGATATTTCTCTTATATATTCAAACAATTATAAACAAATTATTTGTGACTTTTTGTTATATCAAATTTGTAACTTCCTGTCCTTTTACCTACACTTTTACCAGGTTTAAGTTAGTGTTGAAAATTTTCCAGTAACCATAAAATCAGAAACATCAAAAATATTGACGAACATTTGTAAAGAAATTTGAATAATGGTAGAAAATTTAGTAATTTTGATTTCAAATTGTTGTTCAAATTTCTAGCCACGGAAAAATAACTAAAAAATATTTCCTTAATTGATGAAATACAATAGATAGATACAGAAATAGGTCTAGGTTGGTTAAGACTTGGTCGAGTATGGTTCAGACTAGGTCGAGTATGGTTCAGACTAGGTCGAGAATGGTTCAGACACTTATAAAATGGTTAAGTACTGGTCAAATTAAGGTCGAGTACAATTTCAGACTGTTAAGTATGGTTTAGACTACATTCGAGTAATATAGAGTAAATTCCAGACCAATTCAGACCGGTCGAGTAAAAATCAGTACACTCGAGTACAGATGTAGGCCATTTCAGACTTTTACTGGTTTGTAGTGTAATAATTTACGAATAAGCACCGAATTACGATACTTTTAAAATTTGTGTATTACACCAGAAGTAAATGATTGAACGGTTGCAACATTGGAAGTGCATCATCTGGTGCTGCTTTTATAAAAAACGTATTGTTAATCAGTTTATCCTGAAAAAGCCATAATTATTGTAAAGCAGCAAGTTAAAAATAGTCATACTATATTCATGCAACAGCAACAGTACAAAAAATCGAACATTTAATTTTAAAAAATCCAATAAGTGTTCAAACTTCTCACTTGCAATGATGTAATTTTGGCTTTTAATCAAATATCTATAGTAGTCATATTTACGCTCCATGTTCCATTATTTGAACTACATGCTAGTTCTAAACACAACATATTTACGTTCCATGTCCCGCTTTTTGTACTTCCTGAAAGTTCTAAACACAGCATACAATTCTTTTTGTTATATTATAATTGCATCACTCCTCGTTCGTAATACAATTGTCTATCGTTTTGTTGTCAGTTTTGGTAGCTTATCTCATTGCATATGGGTTCAATTTTAAGACGACATGAAGAAATGTCCCCTGAAAATCTAATTTGGATACTTGTTATTTTATTGAAAAAAATTACCAGCGTATTGATTCGTTATTTTGTATCACGTTCAAGATTATTATTTCAGTTCGATTAGAATCATTTGACATCTTACTGACGAAGGATATTAGTTATCCGAATATTTAATACTTGTTCATGGTTGCACTATTTTTTTGGTGATGTTGTACCCTTTTAGACTTGCTTATATTATATTTTGTACTGTAGTGTATCATATTTATATGATCCATCGCATCGTAAGATTTATCGTTGGCTATTATTCAGACATTTGTTATTTTAATGTCTATACACATATTAATATCTTGTAAAAAAATATTATATCATACTCACAGTCCAGAACGGATATCTTCTATAGTAAGCGAAACTTACTTTCGCCTTTCTTTCATCTGAATAATAATACTTAAAGGTCGACAATAAAGGTATTTTTATCTAATTTTGTTATAAGGAAGTTTAACTTTGTTTTGATCTAGAGAACAAATGTTGTATATAAAATGTATACTAAAAATAGTATGTAGGTAAAACCTGTCATTTTGTTGGAATTTTCATATCTTAATACGGGAATAAACAGTATTAAACAAATATCAACAAAATGCACTAGTGTAAGAAAATAAATGTATTTACATATATACCATTATGATTGTGTACATGATTTGTAATTAAAATGGTAAGTACTTATTAAGAATTGTCAACTTAAGTTTGTATCCTTTGCAGTGGTTGACTGGTACAGTAACCTGTATTTATTTTAATTGTTTTAAAAAATGACAATGTTCGTAAAAATCATGTTTATTGCTCAAAAATGCTGTTCTAACGTCTTTTTGTAAGTTATGTTCTCATATCGATCACTGATTTTGTCAAATACATGTACATGATGTTTGTATACTTGAATACTATATCTCAATATAAGTATGCTTGTTTACCTCTAGATTTTCTTTGGTTATCTGGCTGTCTCTAATAAGCCATACAGTTTTTTTTTAATGAGAATACAAATTATGATTAAAATTATTGGCTCATCAAAATAGTTGGAATTTAAACTTCCTCTGTGTCTAGCCTTAAATTCATTAAAGTAACTATTTCATGATCGTTTTGCGAAATGTTACAATTTAATGAAAGTTGGAAGAAACTATATTATATCAGAAATTGAAGAAATCCAAATAAACTACATGCTGTACGGTTTAAGTTCTAGCTTTATTTCATTTTGTCTACACTGGCTAAGGATTTTTATTTTAATACATTGCAACTTTTAAAATTTATTTGAAATCGATATTACAACACAACAACACAACATATGACATATATTTTTTTACTGATATACAAGACCTTGAAAAAAAAGGTTTTTGAAAAAAAACATAATATTTGCAATATAATGCCTAACCAAACAGGACTCATGTTTTTTTTTCGTAAATTTAATTGTTATAAATTAGGCCTTTAGGTTTTTCGTTTGTTGTGTTTGACCATTTCATGTCGGGGCCTTTTATTGCTGTCTATACGTTATCGTTTTTTTTTTCAATGTTGAAGGCTGTAAGATGACCTTTCATTGCTAACATCCACTTCATTTGAACTCTGGTGGATAGTTGTCTCATTGGCAAATATACCACATCTCCCATTTTTTTACGACTATGCTTGTAGATCACTAGAAAATAACATTTAACATTATGTCTAGCTTTGTAAAAATAAAAAAATATTTTGTTTAAATCATTTCTGTATAGTACTATTCGTACGTTCTGAATGTTCTATCCAAAGTGAAAGAAGGAAACATTAATCACTGTTTATTGCATTGACATGGTGTGACGTTACTGTAAACAAGGAAATTTTTTGCTGCACTTTTATTTTCGCTATTTTCGCGGTAAGAGTGGATACACGAAAATAAAACTTCCGCGAATATTTCAAGGAGAACTGATTCAAAAAAAGAAGACCATCTTTTAATGTATACCAATAGGATTATGTATACAAGGCCAATTTATAACAACAGTTTTTTCAGATGACAGATCTATATCACAAATTAAAATTTTATTTCTAAATGAAAGGCAGTGTTAGAAACCAAAACCTTTAACTCGTGATAGTTAATTTAATATGAAATATATTTCAAGGAACAGGAAATTATTGATATTGTTATGTAAATATCACTCGTGACAATTAGGTAAATGACACCTTCAATCATTTTTTAAATGACTATCACATTTTATCTGCTACACTAAATGAAATAATCAAAAGAATGCTCCTCGCAGTTTCTAATTTGATCACACTAATTTGAAAGCATCCTTTTATGTTAATATTGTATGTGTTATTACAAGTGAACATAAATGTAGCGGTTTACTTTTACTTAACATAAGTCAATTCACTAATAACTTGAAATCTACATGTACATCAATGAACCGCCGAAAACTGTTCACCTTGTTAAGACAAAAAGGTTTTTTCATCGATTTTTAGCACTTGCTTTACGATACATGTACAATTGAGCCATTTTTGAAATCATTTCCTTAATTTTGTACAGGCCTCTCCTACAAATTGCGAACTCAAAACGGCGCGAATTAAGATTCAGTTGGTAAATCTCGAAATAAAGACGCGAAACTTACCAGTTTACAGTATACAATGGACCGCATTTGTTTACATTGTAGACTGCCATAGTTCTACAGAAATGCATTACGAATTGTGTCATCAGGTCAAATTAACACGAAAGTAGGATTTGAGAGAACTTGCAGTTACTGAAAGCTAGTTAAAAGCCCAAAACAGTTAATAATAAAAAATCATGCATCAGAGACTAAAATCAATTAACAAATTTCCCAGGGATTTAGTATGTTAACGCCATGGACAGTCAAAGAAGACATGACTTGTACAATGCTAAAAAAAAGTATCGACAGGCAGTAGGATAGTTAATCTTATAATAAATATGTATCATGTTATATATAGATAAAGCAATCTCTTAATAGAAAATAAACGTGGATGTGTATTTATACATCCTAAAAACTATTCGAAAAGACTACAAATTGAGTTATGTTTTAAATTTCTTGATGACAAAATCGATGTTAGTGCCAGTGTAAACAATTTTTAAAGATCTTATTTCAACATTAATTAGATAACCTTTACTAATAAGTTTGTTTAAAGGTTCGATGAGTTTACATGGATCACATAGTGATTTATTCGCTTTTAGTACGCCTTATACTACACCTTTCCTTGGGACTAGCTTCTTATATTTTGGTTGAAATGTAAACCCTTTTGTTGCTTATTGTTGATGTTTTAGTTCGTAATCAGCTGTTTACGATTGAACAGGTTTCAACAAAATTCAGTTTGAAATATTATTGGACCGTAACATAAAGACCTTATAAGAGATAAACCTGCAAACATTTTAAAAATGTTTTGAAAAAAAACCCGATTACACTAAATACTTATAAAAATTGTTTAAAATTGTAGAATCCAATATAATGAGTAAAAGAAGAAGAGAAAAAAAAGGAATTCATCATTATGAAATCACATTCACATATGATAATGATAACATATCAGCTGATGTCATTCTTTTTTTCAATTGTTTTACATAAATGTAAATTTACAACGTGATATGTTGTTTTTTGTAGAAACGATAAATGAAACTTTCATGCTTGTACATATATACTGAATATGGGTCATAAAATACTGTTTTTCCTGATAATAATGACAAAGTCGTCGTTTCAGGTATGTTTTCATAATCAAAATATGTTAAATACAACAAACTTGTTTCATATACAATTAAATATCATTCGACAGATTGATGAAGGGAGTCGAAAAATACCAAAGGAACTTTCAAACTCGAAAAAAAACCGAAATGCTATGGCAATTTACGAAAAATGACAAGAAAAATAACATTATACAAAGCACAACATAGAAAACTGATTAAAGGACTGAGCAACACGAATTTCACCAAAATATACTTGTGATATCCGGTGCTCCGGAAGAGTAAGTAAATCATGCTTCACATGCAGCACCCGTCGTGTTGTTTATGTACGTAACAACCCGGTGATTAATCTAATTCGGGAGGTTCCATTCGATGAGTAGAGGACAAGATTGTGGTATATAATATATATGAAAATGTCCGTCGTTATCTGTGAAACAGATGTTCTTAAACGGACAACCAATTCGTGATCAACTTTGTTACTTGCAACTCTTGGTTTAATAGCTTCCTTGCAGCAACTCTCTGTCCAGGAAACCATGATAAGAAATGCAAGCTGTAGAATAATGTATCGACTCCATTTGGAGGCTCTGCTGGAATGTTGCTCCATAGAAGTGAAAAGATCACCATTGGAAAGCTGAAATCATCTCTTTTGTCGTAAAGTTTTGTTCTCAACCGACCCTAGTGGTCAATCTCTAGTGTAAGTCAAGATATGAGATTTCAAGTTCGATGGGATAGATGCATCATAGTCACAACACTTTGAATTATTTAGTAACAGGAAATCTGCTATATAGCGGAACGTGAAAATAAAGGATAATGCTAGCTCCACTATTTTTCCTAAGAAGATCCTGTATGAAGTCTGCCTCAAATGAATAAACTAACAAGTCGGGAAGAAAAGTGTTGTTCGTCAATTCACATTTGTGACGTGATCGTCAGTTTGCAAAGAAATCCGCTCAAGCCGGTGCTAGGGACCCTCTTAAACTTGCAGTGAGGTAGAGTTTTTGCTCTGTGTTGAAGGCCTCACTGTGACTATGAGATGAAGAACAGCAATAAAAGCGTTGTTCCGTTGCTTTTTGTGATTTTGCTATGCATGTACTGATTTTGTCTCATGGTTGAATACCCCATATCCTTTCTTGTGTAGTAGATAGATATAAGAAGATGTGGTATGAGTGCCAATGAGACAACTCTCCATCCAAGTCAAAATTTATAAAAGTATTTTGTCTTAGAGAGGGATACATCTTACTTAGTTGGTTCCCATGGAAATGCAGATTGTTTGTTGAAAAACACGTCCTCCGAACGTAACAACTATGTTTTCAATCTAGAAATTAGGCATCTTGATAATGTTTAATGTCAGTTTCAGAAAATTGTTTGTTTAAATCAGAGTTTTTACAAAGTAAGATGTATCCCTCTCTAAGACAAAATACTTGTATCTACGTTGGCTATCTTTTATGAAACAATGCAGGACCAATTCTTTCAAAGTGTCTTTTAGTTTTGAATTAAGAATGGAGAATATATATGTAAAGGGTAGAAAAAGCAAATGTTTTATACTATTTTCAGAGGAAAGAGACTTAGATTGTATGTAACCCATTTTTACCACGTTGTTTGTAAGAATGTAATTTATGTATGCAGTTCGTCATCCTTGGTTGAAACTCCAAAGTAACATAGAACAACCCTATGATGATTTCCCCCCTGGTAAGTGTCGTGGGGTATATGTTGAACTTCCAAGTGAATTGTCAATACCTAAGGCCTTTATAAATCAGTTAATGTAATGTGATTAACACACAAAACGATGTTGTTTAGGGCTTTATCTGAGGGGACAACATCATATCTGTCATGAAGATAGGGCAGGTACTTAGCAACACTTAGATTTTTATAATTCAATGTAGCATGTGTATTCATTGACCCATTCATTTTTTTTTTTATTTCAAAATTGTAGCAACGACCTCACAATCTGAATCCATTCGGAATGGGTATATACGTTCTCTTCTTAAACGTTTAGCTAACTGCCTGGCATAATCTTCGAATGGATCCATCAGTATTTTGAATTCGATAAGTGTAGAAGTGTAATGATTTACGTACTAGCATTGTATGATTAAAATACTTTATAATATCATATTGTAGAAAAGTTGCGTTTACCTATGTTTTTCTTACTATTAACACTATTGTGTTTGACACATATAATCTTAAACAAGAATAATCCATAGAAAGAAAATCAAGAACAATTGACCATACCAAACATCATCGTAAAAATAGATGCACGAGTAACTACTGTTATCAGACGACAGACAAAAACTGTTACAGCGGTAAACGGGTATTACACATTTATGACGACGTCACAGCATTTATTTAAAATAGACTTTCAATACTGTCATAGTCACGATAATTGTTTTGACTAGTATTGTGAAAAAAATTGTATAAATTTCAAGATTATATATTCGTTACACAACAATACGTCACTGTTTGTGATGCCCTGTGCTGTCGTTAATGGAAGATGTTCGTTGTTATTCTGTAGTTTAAATGTTGTAACGACTATTATATTATTTATTTGTGCGTTTGTCTGTTCTGAGTGTTCTTGCATTTGTTTGTACTGAATTTCTGTCACGTAGTGTTGTTATTTAGCGATATTTTTTAACATTGCCATAAAACCAGGTTCAACCCATCATTTTTTCTTAAAATGTCCTGTACCAAGTCAGGAATACGGCAGTTGTTATCAAATAGTTCGTTTCTATGTATGTTGGCGTTTGTTTTTGTTGCACTTCAGTGTTTCTGTTGTTCCGTTGTTTTCCTCTTATTGTTGATGTGTTTCCTTCGGTTTTAGTTTTTAGTTTAAACATATTTTATTTGTTCAAGTACAAATTGGATAAGACACAAGTCAAACAGACTTATGAAGTCTTCTCCATTCAACATTTATAGCAATATAATACAAAATATATGTATGAGCATGCATGTATAGAATGGTATATCTATTTAATATATATATATATATATATATGGATTTATGTCAAAAGACAGAAAAGTGAAGACAGAAAGAAAACAATAATACAGAAAAAATAAATAAATGAATATTTAGAAAACAAAAACAAAAAATAAAATACAAATTAAACAAAAAAAAAAGAAAAAAAAAGGAAGACTTTTACTTAGATGATGATGTGTGTGCGATCATGGTTTGCTATCTAGACAATTAGAAATCTTTCCGAACTTTTAATAAACTCGAAGACATTTTTGAAAATGGTTTGGTTTTGCTCTAGAGAAAGAAGACAACTACCCGAGGTTAGTAGTTCTATGTTAATTTTACAATCTTTTGGAAGCCAGCGCAGACTTTCAAACATTTTATTTCGTATGTCTGAATATAATATACATTTAAAAAAGAAATGATAGGAATCTTCACGATTAACACCACAGCGGCAAGAAGGGTCAGAAATAATATTGACCCTATATAGATCATAGTTTAAGGATGATGCAAAACATCGTAGTTGGGTTAGAATAATATTCAGTTTTCGAATTCCAAACTCATATTGCTTCTGTACAAGTATGTTACTCTGAGGGTAAAGTTTTTTTAGTTCAGTTTTAAATTTATTTATTGATTCCGCATCACGAGTTGAATCATCAAGATTATTCCAAAGACGTATGGTTGATGGAATAAATGAATCATTAGTCAATGCTAGTCTGCAGAATGGAATAACGATGTCATTTCCATTGCGTAGAGGATAGACCGTCATACTTTGGATTTTTGGGGGAATTAAATTTGTAAAATATTCTGGAACATTATTTTTTTGAATATTATAAAACATTTGAATTTTTCTTCTCTCTCTTCTTTCAGCTAATGTTTCCCATCCAAGTTCTTCATAAATAACCCTTGAGCTTGTGAATATAGGTAACCCCGTAACTATTCTAGCAGCTTGGAGCTGTAATTGTTCCAGTTTATTGATATAACCTACCCCAATGTTATCCCAAACTTCACTGGCATACTCAAATAAAGGTCTTATAAAAACTAAATATAGTTTTTCTAAATTTTTTCTGCTCAGTTTATATTTCAACTTCCTTAGCATATTTATATGTTTAGATGTGCTTAAGATAATATTATCAACGTGGACATTCCATTTAGCATCATTGCTAAATGTAACCCCTAAATGTTTATGAATATTTGTAATAGGTATATTTTTATCATTGAATATAAAGTTCATTTCTGGGATTTCAACATTAGAAAATAACATAATTTCTGTTTTATCTGGATTAAAAGACATTAACCATTTTTTGGACCATTCGTTCAGCTTTTCCAGATCATGGTTTATCACAGTTTCTATCTGCAATGCATCACGATCCGCACAGCTGAACGACGTGTCATCTGCAAAGAGTCTGCACAGAGAAATAAGGCTTTCTGCAATATCATTAATATATATTATAAAAAGTAATGGTCCAAGGACCGACCCTTGAGGGACACCAGCTGAAATACTGCAAAGTTTTGAAGAAGATTGCTTGATAACCACTCTTTGTTTTCTATCACTTAGGTAGCTTCTAAACCATTTTAACAGATTTCCATTTATACCATAAGCCTTCATTTTATGTAATAAACCATCATGCCAAACTTTATCAAAGGCTTTGGAGAAATCGCAAAAAACAAAACAACTTATCTCTTTCTTTTCAAGTGAGTTCAATATGCAATTATATATTTCTAACAGTTGGTGAACCGTTGAACATTTAGGAAGAAAACCCGATTGATACTCATAAATTAACTTATTTCTTTGTAAGTGGTTGTAAACATATTTATATATAACACGTTCCATGACTTTGCCTATGCAACTAATGAGTGATATAGGTCTATAATTGGAAGGTAATGAACTATCCCCCTTTTTAAATAAGGCTATAACATTTGAAATTTTCCAGCTGGATGGATACTTGCACTGCTGCAAGGATTTATTAAATATTATACATAATGGAATTGCAATTTTTTCGGGACAAATTTTAAGCATCTTATGACTAATGACATCCGGGCCTGACGCTTTTTTAGGATTTATAGTTTTTATAA